GCATCTGAAACCAGGCCACAGGGCACAGAGCAAACCACGCGCTTCACGAGGGCACGTTAAGGGCTGCATCCTTCCCATATTGGCTCCTATTTCCCTGAGCATCAGGGCTGGCTGCGGGCACTAGGGCTGTAGGATTGGGCAGTGCCAGCCTCATCCCTATAGGGAATCCCCAAATTTATACTTGAAAAAAATCTGGCTATGAAGTTATTACTATTTTGAGTTGTATATACAATTCTTTTGATAGGTGTCTTATGCTCAGCGGTGGTTTCGTGTCAGTTTGGCTGCTGTGGAAGCGGACAGTACCCGTTAGTGGCACCTGGCAGAGCTGCATCAGGCACAGGGGCTCGGGAGCCACCAAGGGGGGAGATGCTGCCTGGGGCAGAGGCAGGACCGGCCGTGGGAGTCTCCGGAGGCGCTGGGGGCTCGGCCGGTCCCAGAACAGAGTCATCATTTCCACGTAGTCCGGCTTAAAATATAAGCATGTTTGAGACTGAAATCTGAGGGTTTTCCAGGAACAAACAAGCCTTGTCTGTCCCAGAGCTCTCCAAACAAGGTCTCCTCTGGATGGGCAGGCAAGTACATTCACAGCCCAGGAATGCTGTTTTTACTGCTCCCTGCCACTTGTCAGCTGTGGACCCAAACCAGCCTCCCAGAACAAAACACCACCACGTGCCTCCAGAAGGATCAGCCCGGACCACCAGTGCAATTGCTCGGCCTCGGCGAGGAGCACTGATGCGTCCCTGACCAGGGAGAAACCTGGGGCTGGGGGTTTCCCGGGATAGGATGGGGTGGCGGACAACCTCAGCTGGTCCGTGGGGATGCAGACCATCACCTGCCTTTACAGAGGTGGCAAAAGATGTGTGCATTAAAATTTCCTTCGGAGAAATTGCTTAAAATGAACAACACGGCGAATCTTCATGTTAAACACATCCTGCGGATTTGGGATGTGTCATTTTTAGGAGAGAGATGAGCAAGGCTGAGCTAGCGAAAAGCCAGATGTGGGGCTTACTGCTGGTTCACCCATCACCAGGAGCGAGCAGAGGCTGTTTGGGATCACCCAGATCGCCTTCGCCCCATGAAGTGCACTGACCCCATCTACGGGTGAGACTACTTAAGGCTAAACACACAAAGTATTTCTGAAATCGTCTTCAACTGGACCTGTGCTAACACCACCCGTAAGCCCGGAGAGCCAGCTCCATGCCTTCAGTGCAACGGTACAGGGAAAGGCTCCCAAACCCCCTCCTAGAGCACAGACAGCTTCTTCGGATCGCTGTGACGGGGTTTAGAATTGGTGACAAAGCTGTTATAGCAATAGGTGTAGATTCAAAAGCAGTTTAGGACTGAGCAATGTGGAAGATCACAAAGTGCCACAGGATATTATATATATATAAAAAAAAAAAATATAATATATATACATTATATATATATGATATATATTGCCAGCACAGGTAGTGTTGCCTGCTTACATCTGTTAGATTTATTAATAAATATTTAATAAATATTACTAATAAATGAGACGGTGATGATTCCAGACTAGAAAACAATCCCAGAGCAGAGCCTGAAGTTTGTCCTCCTATCCCAGAAAGACCCAACCCTCCTGCTTGGACGGGATTAAAAAAAACCAACCCCAAACCTACCCCTTCCTCACTCCCACCCACCACAAATCGTCCTCACCTCCTCCCACTCCTGCAAACCAGCCAGTTAAGAGGAGATCAGTTAGGAGGAGAGGTTTCCATTCCCTTCCCTTCTTTCACAAGAAAAGGCAAACACTGCTGACATCCCTCTGAGCATCCTCCTCTGAGCATCCCCCCAGAAGCGAATCCGGGCGCGGACGCAAGCAGAGGCGACTCACCATGGTGCTCATGAGGATGTCAGCGCAGTCGGGGAGGTCGATAGCCGGGGCGGTGATTAAAGTGTTTTCTCCCCCCGAGTCCCCGTCAAGGCTCCTGGCCATCCGGAAGGGAACTTCATCCAGGTAGCTCATTGCCGCTGCCTGATTTCTTGCTGCCGGAGGAAGGGATGAAACAAAACTGTAAAAGGCAGGACTAGCACCTTTAAGTTGGGTGGAAGCAGAGAAAGATGAGCTATTTCAAGTGATGCCAGGAAAAGGAACACAGCCCTTAGAGACTGTGCCAGCCAAGTAAAAACCACTGTGTGCAATGCCCAGATTTGCAAAATCTTAATTACTGATACCAGGAAGATCTGTCTGAACTAATAGGCGATATTCTGAGCTTGAGCCAGCAGGACCTGACCAAGCTTACAGCTTCATTTGGCAGAGATCCTGAGCGTTTTTCTTCTCCGCTTCCACCTCCATGCATGCCCCGCTGCTTTCCATCCCTCCTCCTGCCTCTCCCTCTCTCTCCGCTGCCCATCGCACTCTCCCTTTCCCAAGCCGGGGACAGACCGGGCGCTTTTTGCACTTACAGAGGCAGAAACCGCAGCTGAGGAGGACACCTCGCAGGTCTCCTCTCTCTGCGTGACCTGAGAGCACCCGTGGTCACGGAGCTCAAGCGCGCGGCCACGTGCTGCTAAGCCACCGCACGGAGCAGCCCGGGGGAGCTGGGGTGAGGGCACCCCCTCCAGCACTGCAGCAGCTCACCGAGAGCCAAACAGGGAGGCTGCTGCATCAGGCAAGCTTCGGTGTTAGAGGGGTGTTGAACGAGCCATTTTAAGGCCAGATTAGTTTTTAAGAACCATCGAGTCATTTGAAGTGCGGTGACGTTTTTTAGATCAGGAATAGCAGGGGAGAGAAAAATTTCTGATGAACTAGGGATGGCGACATGGAAAATATTACTGCAATAGCATAGCCATCAGCTCTGTGTAAATGTCTCAATTTAGTAAAAAGCCACTACTTGCTCCATGAAGCCTCGAGTCCTCAGCTTCCCTGCGACAATAGCGTGCAAAATAATTTCCTTTATATATTGTCAATTGGCAAGAGCTAATGATCAGTAATCCGTCAAGCTCTGGTACCTGCAGCCTGTGCCTGCTCATCCCAAAGCAGCAGCTCTCAGCAGCCGTTCTCAGGACACAAACAGTAAGTACTTGATGTGACATCCCTAAGTGCTGTTACTGATCTTTTTTTTCCTTTAAAAAGAAATGGCTTCCATGACAATGAGGATAAACACTCCACAAAAAGAAAATAAGCAGGCAAATGTATCAAGGAAAGCTGCCTGTTAGTTTAATGCAAAAATAAGGGTCTATAATGGGAAATGGCATTCAAGGTCATTTCTTACGTTAGCAAAGGACTAACAAACTGCCTCTAGAGCACAAAGGAAGAGCGACGCGCACACTCACTCAGTTCAACTCAGTTCCTCTTATCAGAATTACAAGAGCTGTCGCTCGCCTGCTTATGCCAGGAGCCTTTAATACCTGGGGCTGTAGCGCAGGCAGAGGCCCTAATCAGCTTTGGGGCTCCCACCCGTGTACTGCTGCTAACATGCGACACGCGCAACGCGTTGGGAGCCTGCACGGAGCCAGGCCATCTGCTCCCCAGCCTGAGGGCTCAGCCTAAGCTACAATCCACGTCAGCACTGATAAAGACAACGCGTGAAAACATCTTTAAGTAAAGCCACCTTCCCCCAGCTTTCTCCAACTCCTCGGCGTGGCCGTGCAGCCCCTGCCTGCAAGAGGGACAGACCCTCCTTGCAGCTTACGCTGTAAATCAGCTCTTCCCAAGCTGTGCGGCACAAAGGTGCAAAGGAAAAGACTGTCTGGTCGTCCGTCACCTAGGACGGCTTTACTTGGTTTTAAATGCCACTTTAAGGGACGGAGATGGGAGTGAACGTGCCTGAAGCCACGATGAAGAAAATACGGAGAGATTATCGTATCTCACTGTATTTCACTGCATAAATACCGTGCTCTGAGAAAGGCTCCCACGAGTGTTAATTCCCAAAACCACTATTGAGAAAAAAAGAACTACATTGGGGTGGGGAGCGATGACGCTACTAAACAAGACTAAAAGAGGGTCAGTCGTAAACACCAACTTATACCAGAAAGCAACTCCCACAGGGGGTCTGACCTCATCTGCTTCGTGCCAGCCCTGCCTGCTTTCCCATCAAAGACACAGGCTGGCAAATGAAGACATTCTTCTCAGGAAGAGGATGTGCCTTAAAAGCATGAGAAACCTGAACTGCACGGGGACCAGGCGAGGAACAGGATGCAAATGAGTCTCAGAAACTCATAGCCAACCCCTCTTTTCTTCTGGGCTGTAACAGTATTTTAAAAAATAGTAGGAAATACTATACTCAGACAAATTTGAATCTTAAATCTGAATACACAAGGTTTTTTTAAGAATTAATACCCTGTCTCCATGTATTTCATGAGTTAAGATTTTAAACATTCCTCCCCCATCTGTGGCTTCAACATCTTCCTCACTAAAAATATAAAACATTTTAATGCAGACGCCATTAGACAAGAACAAATATGTAGAACAAACCACAGAAAGCTTGAGGGATTGAAATATACCTAAACGTACATCATCCGCTGGCATTTTCAAGTCCTATTTTTATTAACAATATTCAAGTCCTATTTTTATTGACAACACAAAGTTATCCTTACCGTCAGACGAAATCATGGAGCTCTTCGCGTGGGGAGGGAGAAGAGGGTTGCTCCTACGCTGCCTGCTTATCTACTGCTCAGTTCTTCGAATTCTTGCAGTGTCAGACAAGCATCTGACTTTGACAGTTTTAAGATTATCGTAGCTTAAGCAGTTAGCCTGTCCCATCAGACATGCTGATGGGATAAGGAGCCTAACTATTGAAGCAGAGCACCCTCCGGTCACTAAGCTTCCTGAACCGAAAGCGTTGTTTCTGCAATTGCTTTTAGGCTAGTTGATCTTTCGCTTTTTCATCAGGTAAGACTCCCCAGGATCTGACCCAGCCATAAGTCTCGGAGTAACAAGATGCTAGAAGTGACAGTAGGGATGGGAGGATGTCCCACATGCCAATCAGAACCCCTACCTCCAGAGGACTTCACGGTAATCTGTATTTTGGGGCGCTATAGGTAGGCGATATACACGTGAGCAAGAACTGCAAACTTCCGCACCCAGATTAATTCTAACTCTATCAAAAATTACTAGTTCGTGTGCTCTTACTAACAGAAATCAATGCAAAGCTTCAGCCAAGAAACTATTAACGTTACATATAAGGCCTAAGTGCTGAATTTAGGCAATTACCTGTTGCTTCCTCCATGAATTACACAACGTTGCGCTGCGAAGAGGTAAGGAATTGGAGAGATTAAATCCATTCCCACACATTAGGGCTAACCAAGAGTAACGACTGCAGCTCTGGAAAGATGCCACGACAATCTGCGTAGACCAGCAAAGCCCCAGGCCCATACGGCCCATCGCTGTTTCGAGCAAACTCTCCCGAACATGGAAGGCTTTGAAATCACACGCCTCTGTCGCCTTGTAGGAGGAAGAAGTTCCTTCACACAAACCTTTTGCCAGCAATTCTCTCCACATTGGAGTCGTATTTGATGCCAAGTGCTAAAACAAATCTCTCCCTCGGAGTAAAAACGCTTCAAACAAAAAAATTTCCTTTTTTCTGTATTTATTCTGTACAAAAAAACAACTTACAAAATAGAGCTGTGTTTTTTAATCAAATATTATATACATCATCTGTCCCTATACAAAAATAGCTATATAGGCAAAACCAATTACAGTAGGTTAGACTTCAGATTTTATTGTTTTTTTTCCAGCAGGCTTATTCATCGAATTTATATATATTCACATGGCTGTCTGACCTATTTCACCACAACTGAGAATTTTTTCCATGTTGTGGTACCAGTTTTAGTCCACAAACATAAAATGTCAACAGCTGCTTTAATCAACCTTGAAAAACCCTGTCTTGTTTGTACTTCAGAATGTTTAAACTTGTAATAGGTTCGTTTCTACACACAAAAATACAGGAACTATTTTGACAGTGATGCTTGACATGCTTCATTTAAGAAGAAAAACATGTTTACTAATGATCTCTCTCTTTTTTTAAACTTCTTTATTTCTGGAGATTTCATCATCTGGATTTAGGCTTATAAAGATAAAAGCCACTAAAACCAGGATGTTAATACTGGCACAAATACCCTTGCCAGCAATGTTTCTTTACTGAGATTTGTTAACAAAAACTCGCAGCGGGATTGTGATTCCGCCACGAGAGGCCTAGCAGCTTTGGGCTTGCACAGGTATTTCCCTGCGGAGTCAGATGGCAAGAACAGTTCTTACACTTTTCTTCAAGACATTCCAGTACCTGGCTACCGAAACAGAGGAGGAGACTTCCTCTTCGGACCCTCTCACAGGTACACACGCAATTATAATGAAACATTCCTCCAACGTTAGAATAATTTATTACTAAATTATCTGACAGCAGTGGCCCAAGTGTCATTTGTGGGGACACTCGGAAGAACCCATCCTGGAGGGATGCAGCTTCCTTCAGGGTGATCAGCTGGCACCAAGTACTGATCCCATTCATGCCTTTGACAGAGAAAGCGTTGTTTGAGAGGAGAGCTGGTGTGAGTTTGGTAGTAAGATTTATTATATACCCACGTAGGTGTTTTTCCATACTGATCAATACACAAAACACTATAAATTGTACTCTGAAGCTTGTTTTTCAAAACACAAATGTGAAAACTGTATGTACTATTCTATTAAATGGAATGGTTATGCATGGAAGTGCACTCTGCCTCACATGGACACCTGTTGGATACAGCTCTATCAAGCGAGAAGCTTGATCCTTAGCTGAAAAAAACCAGGACAACTCACTGCATAACCGTATTTGGAAGTTAACGAACCAAACGGGACCATAACTTTACAATCTCAACAAACGATACTTGTCATCTTTGGTAATAAAATAAAGACTTTGTTTGGTTTTACCTGATCTGGATTAGAGCTGCTACAGAATGCTCAGCTTGTAAGTAATATTCTCTGAAGGGCTGCAATAGATGGGCTAGAGGAAATTCATCTGTTAAAACACAAACATAGAAATCGTTCAATAAACCAGAAAGACCTTAAATTCTAGTAAGTCTTAGAAGCCTCAAATTTGCTAACTTATTTGCTGCTCCTCAGCTATAACTTGAAATCGCTTCCTGTGTAACATATCAAGGACTATTTACGTGTTTTGCACATCCCCTCATCCTTACCAGAGCTGTCAGAGGCAAGTCAAGACCAGCAGAACTTCTCCTGCCTCCATCCTCTAAACAAGGGGAACATATGGACGCTGTACCTTTACAGATTACCCGAGTCACACTTACCAAATCACCAGACTAAAGCATCTCTTGGGTGCTGGAAGTCTTCAGTCTATTCTGTTTATTCTCACTTCAGCTTAATCTACAACCTCTTCTTGCAAAACATTATGAAATCAGCTTGAGATATACTGCAGTCTATGCTGAAGAGCTAAACAGTTCTTCTTACATCACATGTTAGCAGCACACTACATTTGTCCCATCTTTTCCTCAGAGCATAAATTACTCCAGTGGACGATTTCTTTCTCAGCTATGTTTGTGCCTGCATTTTAAACCCAGTGTCTATGAGATGGGGGTGTGGTGTGGAAAAATACTGTTAAGTACAGCATGCAGAATCTACCTGGATCCCCAAACAGCTTGGAATCAATTTCAAGTTTCTGCTGTAGCAGTTTTTCCCTTTCCTTCTTCTGTTTCTTTTCCATTTCTCTCTTCCTTTCCTCCTCCTGTTCTCCCTCCAACATAACTCTTAATGCTCTCTCTTCAGCTTCATACAGCTCTGTGCGATTTTTGAGCAACGTTTTGAGACTCTCCACCTGATTTTCAAATGCTTCATCTGCTGAGGGGGGTGGACAAACACCTAAACAGAAAGAGAATTAATTGTAAATTTTCAAATTCAGAAGGGGCTCTGTTATCAGACTTGAGAGCAGAGCTGGCAAAATCTCAGAGGAACAGGAGCTTAACCTTGCTAACAACAATCTTAATGGAATAACTCTTTTATCGAGAAAGAGCTTAGAAACGTAGGAACACAACCACTGTATTCAGCATTTTATAGCTATTCTTGCATAACAACGTAACTAAAATCACTAATAAACAGCTTTTTCAAGCTGCACCTTGCTGATCAGCATAGGGCACGCACACCATCTTATTTCCTGTGTGCACAATTAAAAGAGTTTAGTAAAACTCTCGTAATTAACCTTTCCTGCCAGCAGCCTCTTTTCTCAGTTTCCGAAGCTTTTCTAATGCACGCAGGATGTCCACCATCCTCTTTGTGTCTGCTTGTTTCTTCCGTACTTCAGATAAGACACTGTCTGCGGCAGCCTTAAGTTCTCGTTCCTATGAAAGAAAGAAAAAAAAAGGCATGATGTCTGAAATATCCCACGTAGACAAGAATGAAACGGTACTTTCAGAAAGATTAGCGAAGCACTGGAGATCAGAATAACATCCTAGTAACACAGTCATAGCAAGTTAAGTCAACCATCCAACCTTGCCTTTTTATGAAAGAGCTAAAACGCGATAGACTTCAGGAAACAAGAGAA